TTGTTGGCAGGCCGCTCTCCTGCTGGTTTAACCAAAACGCCTCTGTCCACACTGGGACTGAAGCCACATCATCAGGGAGGATCGGGTAAGTTTTTCTTGCCTAACCTGTATTTATTACTTACAGTAGACATTTCTGAGTTAGCTGTCTGTGATTTCTATTGTTAAAGAAGAAAAAAGTGGTATTCCCCATTTTACTGCTCTTTTTATTTAGCTTTATTTGAGCTACCTTAAAACTGTGAATGCTACTTTGTTGGTTGGTACCTTTTGCGTTATTAAACCTAAATGATTTAGAAAATCTGTCCAAAACTGTTTTTTTTTTTTTTAAATCTAAACGGACGTCATGACCGAATCATTAACATGTGTATTTGTGACATTAATGGCGACCCCTGGTGTCCACATCTGTTCGTTACTCATGCTGTGGCGCTTCTAATACCCTCTCTGCACCACCTGCTTTCTCTCCCCTGTCTCCTCCTCCTCCACACATTTTCTCTCTGTCTCCTTGTTCCTCCACTTTTTTCTCACTGTTAGATTCTGACTCTAACGATGGAGACCAAGGTAAGGGCTTTTCTGTGATTAACAACTTTTGTCAGCAAGAGTTTTTTCTTTTTCTTTTATAAACCTTTGTCTGTCTGGCTGCAACACCCAGTGTTTAAAAAGCACACCTTCCAATTCCTTTTACTCAGATGTTTTTTTCCCTGGATCCCATGACATTTTTGACTATAGATTTTTTTAAGACTCACACCGTTCCTTTGTGCTGTTATGTGCATGTATTCTGTAGATAACCACAGTTTCGGAGACTCCAGAGCACTACCACTGAACGCTCCCCTGATGTCCAGCAGTCCTGTTCACACCACTGATGGGTGAGTTAAGAGTACAAACTAGAAATATCTCCATGTTAAATGTATGCCGTCTTAAACAAGACCTCTGAGATAGTCCACCTTTAGCCTTGGTTACAATAACAAAAAGTCACAATTTAGTGACGTAATGTTCAAACACTAACTAAATTGTAGAGAACGTTACCTCAGGTAACAAATTAGGTTGGATTTTTATTACAAATTTGGCAAACATCACTACAGGTGAGCAAAAGACTGTTCAAAATCCCATAGCATGACTACCAGTTTAGACAACAAATAATAAAATAAAGGACTAAATAAGAAGTCAAAGCTGTGTCAACTAAAACACAGTGTTAGTTAAACGTGTTCTGTCTGCAGAAGAAGGATGAGGTCTTCAGATGAGCCCCCCCACAGCCCAGCCTTCTCCCACCCACACAGAGCCCCCTCCCCTGAGGGTTCTACGGTCAACATCATGGGCGTCCACACCGTCCCCGGCAGCCCCAACACGCTGCACCGCACAGTAGCCACTAATACGCCTCCGAGCCCCGCCCTCCAGAGACGATTGGGTCAGGCCAGCCCCTCGCCCAGCAGACAACCCCTTCCTGGATGTGTCCCTTCCAGCCCACTGATTGGCCGTAAGGCAGCAGCCACAGGTGTGCCGCCCAGTCCGCTGATGGGGCGACGCACCACGGCGAGTGGCCACAGCACACCTGACGAAATAGGAGCCGCCTCCCGTCAGGGGAGCGCCCAACCTCCGTCCACTCCCGCCTTCCCTGTGTCCCCACAGCTGCCAGAGAGAAGGCACATGTCCAGTGGAGACGCAGAGAGGGTGGACAACAACAACTTCACGACAGTCAGTGGTGGAAGCACTCCAAATCTGTCAGGAACACACTCGATCCCAGAACTTCCCAAGTCCATATACGGTGAGGCTGTGGAGATGGAGAGACAGTTTTCTCGACCATTAACGAGTTCACAACCTTTTCACCGTCCATATTTCCTGATTTTGTCTTTTCCCAGATGGTTGTCCAGACATCAAGATGAATGTCAAGTTTGTCCAGGACACGTCCAAGTTCTGGTACAAGCCTGAGATCTCCAGAGAACAAGGTAATGGAACCATCTATAACCCATCTTCCAACATAAGAGTGTGATCCTACAGAAAAGCTGACGAAACTCAGCACAAATGTATGGACTCAGAGGTTTTCAACCTCGTTTTGTCTCTGATCCTGTCTCCTCCTCTCCTTGTGTTCCAGCCATCAACCTGCTGAAGGACAGGGAGCCTGGAGCCTTCATCATCAGAGACAG